AAAGGTTTCTTATTCATTGAGGTATTGACTAAACAAATACATATACTGTAGAAAAACGTTAGTCCAGTCCAGGGGGTTCTTCGGTTAAATGTCCCTCTCCTTTCCTCTTGAGATAACAGTAGCCTAATATGGTTATCTTGGACAGTTTCCTGTTATGAATAAGTTAAAGTGCCGTGTATTTAATTTAAAACCCTGTTTTATTGTATACGATATATATCACTTCAAAAATAATACCCCAATCCGAATACTGAGGGATTTGATATTTGGGTATTATATTTAAGCGGCTGTGACGCACTGGGTTATTGCGCTGATCTTCAGCCTTGCTTGGGCAACACATTTCACCCGAAATTGCTCCTGTGGGTATTGTCCACAGTATTCAATGTATTGCATGTCTAATATATGTAATATAATGTGTTGTAAAGCGCTAAAATAAATGTCATGTATTATTATTAATTAATTAATTATATTTGGGAAACACTGACATCGCATGCAAACAAGATAAACTCTAGCTATTTCTGGAACATTTTACGTTTTAAACAAAAAAGAGGATAATCACTCAGTTGGCACTTTATTAACTTCACTTTGAACTAATTGCAGTCCTATACAACCAATTTTTAAATCGGCCTTATTGAGTGTTATAATCAATTAGTTTTGTTAAACGTTGAGACTCTTTATGGTGCTGTCTAACTGTGTTGTTACAGTGTTGCTTCTAATACTAAATAAATGTTGCTTCTAATACTAAATAAATACTATGTATACAATCAAGAGCAAAGCGATAGTATTGCTGCATTGTTCTCTTTATCATTTTGTTTGTAGATCATCTTTTGAAAAGTTCAGTTCACAAAATGTCAAAATAGAGAAGAATATTCACACAATAATCCAGATCTCTAGATGTTACGTCCAACCAATAATACCAAAACATTATTTATTTGCAATAGCTAATTAAGTCAATACATAATAATAGATTGAAAAAGATATCTGTATTTTATAATGTCATTAACCCTTTACACAGTTACTGTTTTTATGAATGTATTCTCCCTGGGTTAAACTTAACAGATCTTCTAATATTTTCTTTCATGGCTTAAATGATAAACGTATACTGGTGTAGTTATTTATGTGGACGTGCTTAACATGAAAATGTATTTGAGAGGATCTAATGTTACAAATAGCGCTTTAAGCACAGCTGCTGAATTTCTCTCTTGCCCTCTTTAATATCTGTTACAGGTAATGATGATGGGGAACTCAAAGGTTGCGAGTTTGCTTTTGGAAAAAGGAGCAGATCCCAACGTCCAGGACAAGCATGGTATAGCACCCGTCCATGATGCAGCCCGGACAGGATTCCTGGACACTCTGCAGGTTCTGGTGGAGTACGGTGCTTCGGTAAACGTCCCTGACATGAAGGGCGCCCTGCCCATCCACATTGCCATCAAGGAAGGCCACCGGGATGTCGTGGAGTTCTTGGCACCGCGTTCCGACCTGAAGCACGCCAACATCAGCGGTCAGACAGCGATAGATGTGGCCCGAGCTTCGTGTGCGCCTGATATGATTGAATTGCTTTACTCTCACATTCATAGTTAGTCGGGGTTCTGGGGTGCTTCTGGGTGACCCTAACCAATCTTTTTTTGTTTGTCAAACCTGGTGACTTGAATTCATTGCTGTGTAAAGGATTCTTTTTTTGTTAATAGTGGCTCAGCCTTAATATGTGACGCAGGACATGTTGTTCTGGCAGCTTATTGTCAGTGGATGGGTGACTATATACAGTAGACACCTCTTTTGCACAGTGCAATTCAGGCACCTTATATTTCCCTTTGAATTGGGAGTGCACATTTTGTAGATAGTTGCCCCATTGAATTGCATTATTTCCATTGTGTAACAGTCGAAACCTTGCATGTGTTTTTAAACACTTTTACAGAACTTGACATGGTGCACCCTGATTGCTTTTCATATTTTTGTTTCTCTTAATTAGATGTACTTAGACTTTGAATTTACCCTTATTTATTTTTTTGATGTGACTTTGTAAATAGCAACATTTATTGTGATTTGTTGAAATGTTATTTATATAAAGACTATAAAGTGAGATTATTCACTTTACTATTTGAAGAAGAAAACACAAAATAAAGTGTTGAACTTGAAGTACGGATCTGAGTGTTTTATTTTTAACCGTGTTCGTTACCATGAAGTTGACTAGACCCTCATGTACACTGACGTCCGGGCTGCAGCTACAATTGAAGATAGTTCATTCTGTAATTTCTCGGACTGATTGGCTTTTATAACCGTGGCTTATATATGATGCTTTTTTACTTATATTGAAATATATATTATATATTGTTTTCTTTTATTTGGGAGGCAGTAACCCATAAAGTGTCCACAGTGATTATAATTAAGATAAAACAACATTCTGCTACATACATGTTTTTGCTTTTACTGATTTGTTTTTAATTGGCTCTTTTTCTTGGGAACTATAATGCCTATAAGGCCTATAATGATATTTTAAATGTGATTAATTACAGGTATAATTGCAGGAAACTCAATGACTTAGCAACACAGGGCGCCGAGTAGACATTGCTTTAATTTGGGGGGAATGGGTGGGTGATGAAAAGGGCTTGGAATCACTGACAAACATATTTTTTTGTATTTGCAAATCTTAACAATCTGATACTCTAAATAATGTTTAGTACTGAAACAAAAACACTATTAAATCACAATTTTAAATTAATTTAGGATTATTTGGCCTTTGTTAAACCATTGTAACACCATTTTCCTTTTCATAATCTAATGTATTATCAGTATTGTGTTAGCTACATGAATCCTCAAGTGTTCAGCACTTCTCCAAGGTGATGCATGAAGGGCATTCATAATAACTGCACACTGGAATTCACTGCACAGTGAAAACCCTCTCAAAGGTCATGCAGATAGCAGGATGGAAGCTCAAAATGAATGAGGGCCCTGTTGTGTTGAGGCTTGTAGGTAACGGTGGCACAGTTTGCTGATGTTTGTGAGGGCAGATATAGTACAATGGGTATTCTGTTTGCTTGTGTGCCATGGGCCAACTACACTGTCAGAGAAAGGAGATACAGTTCAACCACTGTGCTGCTGTGCCGCAGAGAGGACCTGCAGGCTTTCACAGAACATGTAATACTTGTGTACAATAAAAGTACAATTTGATGCAGTATTTTTACTTGTAATGGGGTGTTTTTTTGTTTGTTATAGTGTGGTATTGCTTCCTTTAGTTTAGTTTAGCTTTAAAATACGGATTCCAACACTGCAGTCTCCATTTTCATATTGTTTTTACCTTTCCCTTTCAGATTTACATAGACACTTTAGCTGGGAGATGCACAGTCCAACCACATTATTTGAATTGAGAGCATTAACTATTCTACTGGAGCAGCTCCACGTTAAATACCTAGTTGTTCTTCAGCTCTAGTTAGTGAGGAGTAATTTACTTCCGCATCAATTTTCTCCCAACAAGTCGTCCTTCTCTGTCTTTTGTGCTTCCACTATATTATCTTGTGTAATAAAGTCACACAAATACAAATGATGTTCCAATATACATATATTGCAGGTCTCCCTTGAAAAAGAGATCTATGATCTCAATGGGACCAATCTGGTTAAATAAATGTTTGATACACACACAAAACCGTTTTTAAAAATGATATTCTCTGACAGCCCTGCCTCCTGCCACCAGGTAGAGCTCCCTTTCTTCACAAAGAACAAATGTGGGTGTATGCTGGATGTGCAAACGCTCTCTGTGTAAACACTGATGTGTTTCGTTTGTCCTGCAGGTTGGGAGGGTTTCAGTAACAGTGACTCGTTTGCAAGCAGCAAGAAGTATAGGAGTAAACAAGAAAAACCAGTATGGGGCTACTCCCCCACTCAAACAGATACAGGAGTGCTGGAACACATGATGATGACACAGGGGAATACGTCAGGTTATTAGAAATGAGAGAAGGAATGAACTGTTTAACAAACCTGTCTGACTGACTGCATGTGTACACTTTGTTTTTAAACTCAGACCCCTCTTCCAAAAGGATGCTCATTAACCTCTTAAAAAAGCAGCATCCACAAAAACAAAAATATTGGCATCTAAAGTGATATTCTATTAATCATTGAAGTAATTTTTTTGTGTTCTTTTGTAAATTGTACTATTTTAAATTGTGTCTCTTGGGATGGGATCATGGAGTCGGGACACAATTTAAAATACTACAATTTACAATAATACACATATACAAATAATTGAAGATTTGCATCTTACAATATACAAGATTACAATATACACACCTTTACAAATATACATTTTTCATGATATTTTCTGAATACTATATTATAAATATTTTCACATTTCTTGACATACTATACTTAGACTTTTTCCTGATATTTTTGACAGACAATACTATGACTTTGTTCTTATTTTTCGAGATACTATATTTTTTTTGTTTACCATTTTTTGACACATAGTATCATATGACCATACCTTTATTACTATAGTATAAACTATAACTTTATACTTTACCCTACTATAAAAATGGCTATTGCTCTTCTCAAATATGTCAAATTTCATGCTATGACTTTTTCATAATACTAAAAATCCTTTTTTTATACTCTGACTTTTTTTCTTATTTTTCGACATACTATACTATGACCCTTTTCGACATACTATACTATGACTTTTTTTCATATTTTTTCGACATACTATATTATTACTTTTTCCGACGTGCTATACTTTGACTTTTTTTCAAATGTTTTGACATACTATGACTTTTTAAGACATACTATACTATGACTTTTTTTCAATGTTTTCGACAGACTGTCTTATGACTTCTTTAAATAAATGTTATAGTAAAGTTTGTCATAACAAATAATACAAAAAACTCATAGTTTAGTTATAAGCCTTACATATCTTTTAAACAAAAATATTAAAGTAATGTGTGAAAAAACACAACGAGCCAACCGTCTTGGAAACACAACATGTTTTTCATAATTTACAGCCAGGCCTTAGTTACAATGATGCAATCTCATTAGTTTTATTTACAGTTTTTTTCAGTTGCTAACACACACAAATCTCACATAAAGCATCATTATTTAAACTCACACTCAAAGAGCAAAACCTCAGGTCAAATCTCCAAAACTCTAAACACATTTTCAGCTCTGCACCCCATTTGCAATTCAACTTGGCACGTTTTGCAAAACACTGCACACGGTTCTCTAAGTAAGACACAGAGATCACACATATTCACTTGTTTGCCAAAACACTGCCATTACAAATGCTACACACATGAACCAATAAACAAATACACATGCCAAATGACCATAAACACCAAACTGCTTTATTGGTGACTCAGCAATCAGGATGTAAGCACTAGAAAAAAGCTACTTGTAAGAACTTTTCACAACAACAATGGATTTATGAACATAGCAAGAGGAAGAGGTAGAGGGAGGATGAACTGAAGTCAGATGAAGAGTTATTTGCAGCATAACGGATGAAGCTGTATGACCGTCAGGCCTATAGGTGATGCTTCTTCTGCAGGATGATAAGTGGTAAAAATGCAGACTAAGCTCTTTTCTTACCTCTGTTTTTTGTAAAAATATGTTTTGTATTTATTTTTCCTCAAAGTGTTCCTTTCCATTTACTGTATTTGACAGAGGCATCATTTGTGTTTACACAACTGTAACTATGTGTTGTGCATGAATGTGCACATTTATTTTGGAGAAAGATAAAAGTATAACAGTATATTTGTGTTTCTGCACATATTTTTGTAAACTTGAACAATCTTTATATGCAGAATTCTCTACATACAGAACGCCATAAAAGATGAGTGTGCTTTAGATAAAGCACCACAGTGTGTAGTTGGTTGGGCAAAGTGTCTTGTACTATAAGATAAGTGTGTGCCATTTGGTGCAAAAGTTTGGTTTTGCTAAGTGTTTATGTAGTTTTGGGTGCATTGCTTAATTTTGCAAGATATACGAGGTGTTTTGCACTTTGGGAGTGTGGTTTTGTGAATTGTGTTTAGTGTTTTGACAAAATGAGCCCTGTTGTTTTTTTTTTAGCAATTGAAAACAACTGTAATGCTGGTGAATCACTTTACTGCCCCCTTTAGAGAGGAATAGAAATAGGTAAATGATTGACAAAGAATTATGACAATGTCACCTCCTTTGTAAATAAAGAAAAACGTAATTCTTTCTCAAGACCTTGGGAATTGGGTTGCAGTGTGGGAAGGTCAGTGTGTGCTCCATTTATACTTTTGTGAACTGACTGACATGATCCCATTTTGTAGCGATGCAAGCCAGGACATGCACTAATGTTCAGGCTGGAAAGTCTTGACTGAAGTACACAGAGATAAAGAAAGAAAGAATGTGGGACGGAAGGAATTGTGCCCTTGTTTGTTTGAGAGCACCTGGACAAAGACATTACCAAACAAAATATAAATCATATACAAATGTAAACAACTACTGTGTAATACTTCCTCAAACTACAAATTAGCAACTATAGATGTGAGCAACTTTAAGTGCATAACATTTCCTGTTTCAGTATGTTTTTCTATGTGTTTGCCCCACAGTACGATGTGCAAAATATTCAATCAAATAAACAAGAAATAGTTCCCAATGATTGACTTTAAACGCTTAATTGGGCAAAAAAAGGAAGTAACGAATAAAGAGTGAAGAATGAGGAATAATTTATATTTGTTCAACCCATAACCAAAGACAATATATTAATGCATTTTAAAGACAGTGCTTTTATCTCCTCTTTGTTAATTATTATATGATTTTATGCACAATAAATATCATGCAGACTTCTGATTCATAATCCCATGTACCATTTCAGTGAGCATATAAACAGCGAGATGAAAACCTTTTATTCTGCTAGTGAAAGGCCTTTTCTCCTTCTGCCTAACAGGGAGCAACATGAGACCGCACTGTTGTCCAGGCTGTAAAACCCGTCCAACAGGATACAGCACGGTTAGATATCCCTTGAGTTTTGCTCTAAAGAACCTACACAATATTCAGTAAAGGGGGGAGACGCTAGAACAATTTGAAGGTCAAGCCATGCTCGCTGTTGAATACTTTTCTTGTCCACAGTATTATCAATCTGCCCTTGAATTTAAAACATGTCTGTTAATATTACTGTGTATGCACTAATAAAACAAGTTAATGAACAATCCAAGTAAGTAAGGTATTAACAGGACACATACACTTTGTAAAATATTTATTTAAAAAAGGTAGTTTTTAAGAAAATGCATAGAAAAACGTTCAAAATGATTTTTCACTCATTATCACAAATTTGAACACACATTGCATGATAACAGTTATTATAAATACGGTTTCCAGTGTTTGGGTATCCTTTAGTAGTCAGTTATAGTTTTGGTTTCCCTTTTCATGCTTTTTTATTTGAGAAATTCCACCATCCAGTGGCATGGTCCCTTTTCTGACCAATATGCTACACTGAGAAAAGAAAAGTCCATGGGAGCCTTTAGCCACACACTCAGCTAGAAGAAGTCAACCTGCTCCGCACATCTGAAGGCATCAGATCCAGCAGGTTGTCCTCCGCAATCAGTCCACTGAGACTTAGCAGGGGACACTCCCCTATCTCCACAGGTAGAGACTCCAGACGGTTCCCTTTAATCTCCAGCCGGACCAGCTGGACCAGGCTGGAAACTCTAGAGCTGAGATACGACAGGCAGTTGTTTCCAAGAGCCAACGTCTTAAGCCTCTTGCAGGAGAACAGCTCCTCTGGCAGCGTCTCCAAAGAGTTGAAGGCAGCGGAGAAGAACTGAAGGCCCTGCAGGATGCCCACTTCAGCAGGGAGAGAGGTGAGCTGGTTGTGGGAGACATCGAGGTGCCTGAGTTTGGTGCAGTAAAACAGCCGAGAGGGAAGCTTTCGGAGCTTGTTCCAGCTGATGTCGAGCATCTCCAGGGTGTGCAGCTTACTGATATGTTCAGGGATGTAAGCAATTTTGTTGTGCCACAGTTTTAGTGTCACTAAACGGCGGCAGTGCTGCAAGCTCAAAATCTCCTCCACAGTGGAAAGTTTGTTTTCCTTCAGGTCCAACTCCTGCAGATTGTTCAAACTGAAGACGGCACTTGGGATGCGCTCCAACTCGCAGCCCACTAACTCCAGCGAGACTATGTTGGTTAACTTCTTCAAGCTGCTAAAGGCTTGGAGCTTGACACCTTCGTTGTGGATGCACAAATGCTGCAGCTGTAATGCAACATCCACTACGCTGGGAGGGATCTTAGTGAGGTTGGAGCGGAGAGAAAGGACTCTCAGAGCTCTGAGCTCTCGAAGGGAATCCAGGGAGGCACTTTTGGAAAACTCATTGGTTAAAGGACCATTCAGATGTAACTCTTCCAAGCTCTGCAGGGTGTACATCCACATAGGAATCTCGTCTAAACTTTCAAAATCTAGACACAGGACCTTTAAATGTGCCTTGAGGTGGTTGAGGGCCGGCAGATGGAGCTTTGCAGGGCAGAAGATCAGCGATAACTCCCGCAGAGATTCAAGCTTTGCCACACTAGCTGGGATGGTGACGTTTTTTACCTGCTCCAGTTTGAGTGATTCCACTTCAGTAATCTCAAAGACGGTGTCGGGGAGACCCTGCAACATTAACAGGTGGAGCTCCAACTGGTTTTTGGCGTTCTTGGTGAGGCGTGAACGCAGCTTTTTGGCAGTCCACTCGTAGTTGAGGTTTAACTGATAGAGATGGCTCTCGCTGACCTCAGACAGAAAGACGGCAAACCTTTTCGAGTAAAGAGCATCATATTGGTCCACAAGGTGCAGGAGGAACGCAAAGTCATTCTTCACGTCCGGTATGTCGTTAATGCCCGTCTCCAGGCGGACCTGCTCAAAGGAGTACTCCTTCAGAGGTCTGTGGAACTGCCAGTACAGCGTGTAGATGCAGAGAAGTCCAAACACGCCCACAAAGCAGATATAGCAGTAAGCAAGCTTGGAGAAAAGATGGGCTTTGTTGTGGTTACAGCAAAAGATATCAAACCCAGTCAGCTCGGGAGGAACATAACAGCGCACTACGATCTCAATGTTCGGTACCAGCACTGCAGTGTAGATGATGATTATTAGAAACTTGAAGACTTTAAGTGACGTTTGGAGCACATACATGACATACAAGATGTCTGCTTCCTCTACATGAGTCCTGAACTTCTTCACCTTTTCAAACAGAGCTTTGGCCTGCTCTCCTTCCTTCTTATCCAAGACAGAGGCGGCCGACTGGGGTTCCATGCTTTTCTTTTCTGGATTCGACTTGACAGAGGCAGAGCGAAGAAGCACCACAGCCTCATCATCATCTGCTCGTCGTTCTGGGGGATCTTTTGACATGGTATTCCTCCTCCAATTGACCAGTTTCTCCTCTCCTCTTTCCTCAGAAACCTCACTCAGGGCTCTCGTGGTCCAGGGAGAATCAAAGCACTTCCCAAGGATGGTAACAAAGATGTCAATCTTGGAAGATGTCCCAGGGAACTTGAACCAGAAGCTGCTTGCGACCATGAAGATCATGGTGTGGATCACAACGAGGTATGGGAAGTACTTTGCGTACCAGTGGACGAACCTCTCGTAGCAGTAGTGGTTGACAAACACATACTGGTGGATGTCCAGGTTGTTTTTGCGACCGGACACTTCCTGGAGGATGGGCTTCGTAGGTTTGACGAGCGTCTGCATGGACGTCTCATTCTCCCTGTAGCTCCCGATGTGGTTGCAGTCTATGGCTCCAGGCGTCGGGCTGGTGAAGTGGCTGGGCAGGCATGCAATCTTGTCTTGAGTGAGCTGCGGATGAAAGATTAATGAAATAATAAATAAGTTGGAGAGACAGAGGAAAGGAAAGAAAATAATACTTCTACCGAGTTTAAACTTTTGTATAAGATAATATAAGAAACCTTATGTAACACTTGGGCCGTGGACAACAGATGAGAAATGGCCTTTTTTTTATTCTGAAATGTTTCCTACTTAGTGTACTTATTATAATTTGCACTGTCCCACATCATCTATAAATAAATAGAATACAATAAAATGTTTTTCATATTTTCTTTCATTTTTGTTCATCCTCTTCGACATACTTAAAGGTGGGGTAGGTAAGTTTGAGAAACCGGCTCGAGATCGCTAGAATTTGAAAATACACAACCGGAGAAAATCTGCCACTTCCTTACAGAGCCCCTTCTCCAACACACACGAACGCGCACATGACCAATGAGGGCATGAGACAGATGACATTTTTTTATGGATTTTTTGTCAAAGCACTTAAGATATTCATTGCTATCAGGATGTTAAGAGCATTCCATGGAATATAACAAAAAGTGTATCTCGAGCCGGTTTCTCAAACTTACCTACCCCACCTTTAACTATACCATGACCTTTTAATGATTTTTTCAACAGACTATATTATGACTTTTTACATTTTTCACATGTATAATTTGTTTTGTGTGACAATTTGCTCTTCACCAGTCTGCTAAATAATTGAAAACATGAAATAAATAATTACTTAAGGATAATAAGATTTATTTGTGTCCACAATTTGTTTTAAACAAAGGAAACTTTGTTGAAAAAGGAGTTCACTGATATTCACTAACAGGTAAAACTATTAACAACCAGCACAACAGTGTTTTGTCAGGCTTTTGATACTTCTCAATAGGATTGATTCAGTGTTGCTTTGGGATTTGACGACTACAGGAAAAATATAGAATGTTAACCCCACTCTGCAAAATCATTAAGACTTATTCACTTTCCTTTCAAATCTTAAAACTAACTCTCTCTGTCTTTCAGTTTAGATTTGATATATGACTTTACTGTATTTTAATAAAGTCTGTGTTTTCAGTTAAACATCATCCAGTTTACTGGATTTTCTGGTCCGTTGCAAAGTGTGTATGTCTTACTAAAGTTGCACAATCCAGGGGGATCAACTGTCTCTACTTTTCTTCTTTAATAAAACAACACAGACATGGTTCACACTGTCTATAGGGAGATGTTGAAGTAAGTAGCAGAACTTGTAATTTTTATCACATATTTACTTTCCTTTTGTGCTAGTCGTAACTGACACAGAAATGATTACCAGGCAGTGGAGACACATTAAGGAGCAAGTTAGAGATCTGAGTGAGTAAGTAGGTGTAGGAGACACAGGGTCATTCAGTAACACTGTCGGTGTTTTTGCCTGAGATGGAGGTCAGATAATGTATAAACACAGAGGAAGGTATGTGGGAACAAAACATTCCTCTGATATGCCACAAAAGATACAAATTATGCACATGTTTTACCCACATCAAGCTATTTTAGGTTGGTAATAATTGCATTTCTAAATCTGTGTAATCAGTTGAGGATTAAAGAGCTTTTGGTCACAAAGTGTCTGGTGTGTCGATGTCTCACCTGCAAGGTGCACCCAAAGACTCCAAGCATAAGCATAGCAACGCACAGGTACTCTGAGAAAACATCCCACCACGGCTTCAGGACACGATACTTTGAGTTCTGATCTACGCCAAAGTTTTTGAATTCACCCACGGGGATCATCCTGGCGGCTGCTCCTCACTGGGGAAAGAATATAGTGAATGTAAACACTGAAGCTAAGGTTGGCTTTCCACAGTCTCTGGAGAACATCTTGTCAAAGGCTTTAAAAGTTATAAGACACAAAACATGTACCCACACAGACTAAAATAACATTTGGTTTCATCATACAGAGGGTGGCAACATGCTTTAGGTATTCATGGCCTTGAATGAATGGATGAATATGCACCTTTCATTGTGGGTGGATTCAAAGTGGATAAACTAGTTTGACAACAGAAACTATCAGGAAAGGGGTGAGGTAATTTTCCGCCTAAAAATTACAGTGTTTTACTGAGTTTTGAGTAAAAACAACACATTCTCATCAGCTTTAATAACACTATTAAGACTTAATCCAAAATTATGAATTCGCCTATTTAATGTATGATTAAATGTGACATTTCACACCGACACGTATAAACAAATAGGTAGACATACAATTGCAGCAGCCAACGCTAAAACTAGATGTCGGGTTTAAATCGTAATGTGAAGAGCGGCCTTATTTCTGTTTATAAGAAAATCTTATCTATGTATCTATAAAACAAGCTTATCATATGACAGATATTAGTTGTCATAGTTGCGAAATCACACAACACTTTATATGGTTCATGACATAGGCTTACCGTCCATCAACTTTCACAAGAAGTTCAGTTTGTCTCTAAAGTATAAGCATACACTTCTGTAAAACATATTTTCCTATGTTGCAGGTTTCACCAGGTGAGTTTCACTTACCTATTCCTGAAGAGGATCCACTGGTGTCCGGTGGGACTCGGGCGCGTTGTTTCATCGTTAGACAGCAGACTGAGGTAAAGTTAGAAGTCAACAACACAAGACATCCGGACGAGAATTTCAAAATAAATCCATTACTCACGAGCAGGTTCAACCCCCGCGAGCGCTAACTTGACACATAATACAGTAAATTAAGGGAATGAGGTCTTCAACGGGCTAGCACATTAAAGGTGGGGTAGGTAATTTAGGAGAAACCAGCTCGAGATCGCTAGAATTGGAAAATACACAGCCGGAAAAAATCTGCCACTTCCTTACAGAGCCCCTCCTCCAACACACGAACGCGCACATGACCAATGAGGGCACGAGATAAGTTTGTGCACAGATGGAAGGCTGACAGGCAGTTAGGCCATCCAGTTATTTTAGCCGGGCCGGCTAAAATGATTGGTCGTACTTTTTACAGTACTACGGCTTCCACAGATGACATTTTTTTTATGGATTTTTTGTCAAAGCACTTAAGATATTCATTGATATCGGGATGTTAAGAGCATTCCATGGAATATAACAAAAAGTGTATCTCGAGCCGGTTTCTCAAACTTACCTACCCCACCTTTAATACATATTTAATATGAATCTCATAGTTCATCTACATATACTATTTGAGTTACTCTATGTCCTTAACATTTTTTATAAACACACTTAAAAAAGGTACAGGATATGTTTCTACTTGTAGTGGAATTTCTATTTTGTTTGGCTTAAAAACATGAGGGAGAATGACTATAAGGAAGAATTATATTTCCATGTCCTTTTTTTGCTATTCCTGAAAATCTTGACTGAGAAAATACAAAATAGTATTTCTTTAAGCATGTTCATCCAAATGTGAGGTGTTACTCTCACAAAAGATGAAATCCAACAGAGCCTTCTTAAAAAAATAGGAGAGGCAATGCTTCCAGTGACACTAATGTGCTCATCATGTTATCTCATGTGCTGCTTATACCTAAGAATCTAATAATCAGGCCATTTTATTGATTAGTGACGTGTGTGTTCTCTGAATGAGTTATAGGGCACAGTAACAACAGCTCAAACTGTTCCTAAATAGCTTTCCTTTGTTATGGGCTGCTGTGGTCTTCCTGCTTTACAGGATTACACCTTGATCCTCTTGTAAATCCACATAATCATGGAAGTTTTCCTCTTGGATAATATAATAATAGTCTCATCCACCTGCCTGGTTGAGCAAGGAAATGAGATGTGATGGCAACAATCATGGGTGGTCGATTAATAGCAAACTTACCACAGGTTTAAACTCACTGAAAGTCAACATAAAAACCTAAAGCTAACTTTATGTGTCAAAAGTGAAACTGAAATTGTTTGACCATCTCATGATATATGATAACATCTGATACAGTGAACAAGTAAAGGATATATTTCATTGTACCATTGCCTACTGTTGGACTGGTAAACCAAGATGTAGATCTAATGATCTTATCTTTTCCTTTTTAGAGCTGTAGCCCCCTCTGGTGGCTGCTCATGCTTTGAAAACCTGCATAAACCTAAATGTCTAACTCCACATGGTTGTTTAATATTAAAACAAATATGAATGTAGTTAGGGACTAATTATAACAACAATACAGATGGAAACTAACAAATAAATACATGACTATTGCAGTACAATAAACATATATTTTACTTTACAATGTATTATTGTACAGGGTATTTGTGCTGAAAAAGAAAATGTACAAAGCAGACATTACATAATCTAATTTCCATTCCAACTACTGACAAACAGGAAAAAAAATGTCCCTTTCAAAGTGAAGCAACTTTTTTACAAACATCCAAAATTAGCATAAACAGGCATTTCTACTTAGTTACAATGCATGCTAGTTATTCAAAAAAAAAATCTACACTAGAGTCCAATTCAATACAAAGCAGATGTCAGTTTAGAGGAACGAGAAAACCAAAACAAATCCTGAACAAATAAATAAAAAAGTGAGCTCAGAAATTCTGTACAAGGCTTTTTTAGAATATCAATGTACAAAACATCACTTAAAAACCTTTGTAGCTTAAATTGCTGTTACAAATACACTGCTTTAAGCAAGTAGTTGTCATTAGCGTACATTATGTGAACACTAATGGACAAATATGGTCACTTCTGTTTCTGAGGTCAGGTGGAGGAGAGAACCAAAAAGTCCACTGGTGGGGAAGTTCTCAATTGAGTCCTTAATTAGAGCTTTTATAAAAACACATTTCAGCAAGACGTTTAAATCCAAGTTTTTTAAAATGCTACCATGTTTTGTTTCCCGTTAACGCAGTCATACTCTGTTTCTTTGTTCTATTGGCACCGATTCTACTGAACCAGACTCTCTCACAGCGTTATATGAAGCAAACAAATTTGCCAACAAATCCCCCTCGCCAGAAAAAAACCAAACACTTTTTATGCACCTACCAGTGGCTATCAGTGAAAGAACACATTTGTCAAAATTCTGTTTTATTTTTTTTGTATAGGTCCTGCTTCTCTTGTACCAGCTCTTGAAGTTGAGACTGGGCCTCATGCAAGAACCACTTGTAGGAATATTCAACATAAATTGACGTAAAAGCATAGCACATTGGTAGCTGAGAGGATGTAGAACATGCCATATTGTCCCGGGATCAATTCAACCCTTGGGAGCCACATGTCAAACCCCTCTCTACCAACTCCCTAATTACGGCAAAAAAGCCAAAGAAAGAAGTTAGGAGTGTGAGGAAGTTAGGAGAATTTGCTATCAACTATTTCCTTAGCTGTGATTATAAACTATAGGGATGATTTTGTGAATGAAACTCGCCCACAGAGCAGAACCAAAGTTTCATAATTCAACTTGGGTGTTCTGATGATCACAAAATGAAAAAGGAGGTAATTATCAGGCTGAATTTCATGATAAAGTTGTGCAGTTTTCTTGATACTGACACATACAAGAATACCTGCCCATAAAGAAATATAGGATGTTAAGAGTGAGGATACAGAAACGTTCTTGCATGAGGCCCACTCTTGTGTATAAGCTTCATCTTGTGGCTGTCTGGGTTAACTTCACCAATGTCTACACACCACACAATTAACGCCTGTGCCTTTCTATTAGAGCACCTCAAGTCAATATACTGATGAGAGTAATGCCCACAGGCATTGAAATGGCACTTTAATCTATACTGCCTATTCTGAAAAATGCTACTTTTTGTTATATAATGAGATCACTTTAATTATGAATTTCTCTTAACTTGAGCTTGAAGGGTAGACCAATTTGTTTAGTATGCAGCCCTTTCCTCCCATGGGAGGTGATGGTCCGACTGAGGACAGACAGCAGCTCTGAAAACGCAGACAGACTGAGGTCTCTCAGATTTGGCAAAACACAGTTTAAAACAGATTCTTCAACTTTAAGGTCTAGAAAGGCAGACTATATGATCTGAGGTTATTGTGGATTTGGAGAGTCCAATGCAGCCACTCAAATGTTTTTGTCACATCAGAGATGACTATTAACACTGCACTTTTGAAATACAGTGTTACTGATTTCCTTTTTTTGCTTTTACATTAAGTGTGATCTTAAGAACCAGTGAGGCAGCATGTCATGTTTCAGCTCACCTCCGTCGCTAATCAGTTGTGAGTGTCTTTCTTTTGAGAGGAGTTTTGGGACACTTGTCTGTCTGTCTGTCTGTCTGTGTGTGTCTGTGTGTGTGTCTGTGTGTGTCTGTGTGTCTGTGTGTGTGTCTGTGTGTGTGTCTGTGACAGGGTCAAGTGATAAACCTCATGCGCCTTTACCAAAAGGCCCTCCATGCCCCGGATGGTGATTAGAGGTAAAGTCGGAGTTGGCTGAATGATATGCCGGTGACGATTCACTGATCTCCCTCTCAGAATTTGGACACTGGGGCTGTTCCTTCTGGCACGGCTCCATGGTAACGGCCACCCCCACGCCGCTCCGCCCTGACGTCATGTGTGTCACCTCCGCCCAGGTGTCCTTCTCAGGGTCATAACACTCCACGCTGTCCAGGAAAGTGTTGCCGTCGTAACCTCCTGTAAATACAACATTGACATTTCGTCCAATCAATAAAGCTGCTTATTTGATTTGGTACCCCTAACATTGCATGTGGCCCCAACACATTTACAGTTAGGTGGAATAACATTAGTTAGTTGGCCTACACCCCAATGTCCATAGAAAATGTGCTCAAGTTATATTGATGCTTTTACTTTCAGTGGTAACACAACTACTCACCCAACACATAGATGCTCCCATGTAAAGCAGTGACTCCCAGGGCACTGCGTCGGTGCCTCATGGAGGCAGTAAAGCTCCACGTATCAGTTTCCACATTATAGCACTCCACTGAGTTCAGCTGGTTGGTGCCGTCATAGCCGCCCATCACAAAGATCCGATTCCCCAGCGAGCACACACCTGAAAAGAAGGATCAATGGTTAGTTGAAGTGTAAGATGACTTTATTGTGATATGGGCAAACAGTTATATTGGAGGATGTCCAAGTACACACTACAGTACATGAAAATCATACAGAATACAAATTTAACTGTGTACTTTATAGGTATCTTTGTTATGGGTATAATTATGTTGACATGCCGACATTGTCAGAAATCTAATTAATCTAACATTTCAGACAAACACCAACATGTAACTATTATAACAAGGTTTTTTCCCAACACATTGGCTAGTATTTTTCTTAACTTTTAATCCTTTTTGATTGAGTAATTCACTCCATGGGGGTTATGTACGGCAGTATTATGCAAAACTACTGGTTTGATTTGTGTGAAACTTCCTGGAAAGGTTAAACATTGGCAAAGGAAGAACCCATTATATTTAGAAGCATCTGAATCACCGGGCAGATAGAAGTATTATTGTGGGCATAATAAGATCAATATACAATTTATTTTCTTCTTGGCTGGGCTTTAGACTTATTTGACAGCTTTTATCTCAAGTCACAGGATTTGACAACATTCGACCATTGACATTGGTGACACGTGCGATATAACTGTACTCCTCTATTGTCCAGTTTAAATCTTTAAGTCCTTTTGATTTCAATAACAGAGACCAGATGGCCTGTCGGAGAAAATTAAATACCTTGCGTACATTTTAAAAACGTGGATGGCCACTTTCACAACAAATTGTGAATTAAATAACTTTCGACCTGACAAGTCAATCATCAGAAGGCAGATTTCCGTCCCTCCTTACCCGCTCCAGAGCGCACAGTGTTCATGGGGGCCATGGTCTTCCACTCGTCCCTCTCAGGGTTGTAGGACTCACAGGAGCTGAGCCTGTTGGCCCCGTCAAACCCCCCCACGGCGTAAAGCAGCCGGTTGATGACGGTGACACCCACACCGATACGCCGCGTCAACATGGGGGCTACAAGGTGCCATTGGTCCCTTTCTGGATCATACCTGCAGACCAGGAACAACACATATTCATACGTTAGTTTATTTTCCCATTCTTTCGTATTTAGTAAGCTAAATTGTCTTGTCATTATACTTTGCTTATTTATTGGCCATCCTTCAAAGAGTGAGGGATAGAAGCTCAGACGCTACACAGCAGAAGCATATTATAGCGCTGAGGTGGTGATTGTACAAGAAGAATAACCAAGACAGTTATAGAGAGTTTTACTTGTTTAGGATGAATGATCTTGACACATTGTGCCTTCTGCATTTTGTATACTGCACTAGTCTATCTTAAGATTTTGATTAAACTGATTAATTGTTCAGCCCTTATCTGAAGTCTGTGATAAATCACATTTTTTCTAATTCATCACGTGAGCACTCAAACAGGTTCACCATGTTCCCTTTTCACAGTCACTGAGGTGAGCCTGGTTAATATTTGACATTTGTTTCTGCTCTCGGTCTGCGTCAGAGTTTTGGTAAATCTTCGACACTGAACTAAGATTATATGAATATATCTAATATTCACTGTATTAAAGAATCAGGTTAAAGTCTTGCTTTGAGTCATGCCTACACAGCAGCACAAATACAGTTAACAATTGTTGGTGGGAAATGTTGCTATACCTCCTCCAGCTTTGTATTGCTCATTAAAATGTATAATGTTGCTGGTTTTGTGAAGGACATCTTCAGAATATAGAGAGTAAGACAAGTATTGCATATGGCAGTTTGAGAGTTGGAACACAAAGGCAGTGGGTGTATCGTTTACTCTTTAGCTTTATAACACATTCCCTTCCCTCATTGAAGCTTTGTGCAAACTAAAAATAAATTACAGGAAGTGAAACAAAACCAATAAAGTTCCAGGAAGGTACCTGCTCCTGGGCACTCATTGACTAAATAGAGTAAACAGACCAAAGCATACACCTGTTTAATACATGTCATCTGTTGGACTTCCACATTGCATATCGTTTACTGAATCCAAATGATCCAAAGGGTTATTGTTAAACTGGCACCAATCAAAGCCCACCTTTCAAAGATAAATCAGGCTGTTGCTACATTAATGATAGCAATAATGATTTCAGAATTGGCTTTGGTCTCTTCATAGGAATTGTTGAAGACAATACAAAATTAAAAAGCAATTTTGTTTTGGATTTGTCAAAAGTCTGCCCTAATACTTTAGATTTGTCTTCTTTCTAATACTTGAATAGGTACAAACATTATATGTAAATAGCATTTACATATCAGAGAGAAAATAGTATATTCTGTGTCTGTAGGCCTATAATAGAGCCAACGATTTATTATCTATCTAAAACCATGTGTTTATCTAATCATACCAATCAATAAAGGAATCAATATCAATGTAAAGGTGAACAGCATGCATGGGAATACATTGCTGTGTATATGGCAGAGTTGTGTAAATTGGATCGGCACATAATTGGTCAATGGTTTTGTTTGATTGATGGGTATAATAAAAAAGAAAATCAATAACACCATTACAGAGCTCAATTTGCTTACCTTTCAACACTATTGTGATGAATGCACCCATGTGATCCCCCGGCTGCATATATCATGCCGTCGATGACGCCAACTCCAATTCGGTTCCTCGGTACGCTCATCGGCGCACATGGCAACCAGCAGTTGTTCATAGGATTGTAGCAGTCCAATGAATTTGAGTCCATGTTGCCATCAGGTGCGTTGTTTCTTCCTCCAACAGCGTAGAAAAGCCCGCTGATCACACAGGCTGCGAGGCCGCTGCGGGGCACCTGCAGGTCGGCCAGCCTCACCCAGGCTCCCGTACAGGGGTTATACGCCTCCAGGTAGCTGAGGGACTGACGGAAATACCCCCCTGCTGTGTAGATGAGCTGCGGCACCTTAGGTGTTCGGCAAGAAATTACTTTGGTGGGTTTGTGGAGGGTGAGATCCTGGAAGATCTGGGCCAGGTAATCTTTACACTGGGGGTCCCAGTCCAGAGACTGGAGCTGGGCCTGCAGGAAGTTGGGGGTGAGGGAATGGCAGCGCACGGCCTGGAGTAACGCCTGGACGTAAGGCCGCCGGTTCTCCCGGTCGTAGCGTACCCAGGCCACACATGCCTGGAAGACCTCGGACTCACAGCGCACATTGAGCTCATCGCGGCTGATGAGGGTGACCAGCTGGCAGTGGGACAGGTTGAAGAACTCCTCCTGGGTCGCCACCTATCAGCAGGGAAGAAAACTTTAAATATATTTTCATAATACAAAAATATTCTATAAATATTATATATAGGGACGGAATAAAAAAAAAAAAAAAGGTATAATAAAGTTTTTAAGAATCCTGCTAACAATAGAATAATGTTAAAGAAAGCAGGTTATAATTCAAAAAGGAACAACTCCAGAAGCTGGAGCAAAGACATTTCAGACAGTATCTTGAAATTGTTGCAATAGTTCAACACAACAGTTCAGGTAACTGTGACAAATCAAGACTGATGCAGCTGTGCAACACTTGGGTCTATTGTGAAGCTTTTTCTATACTAGCACACAGACTTTACACTCAGGAAGTGTGGCTTCCTGCCATGAGAGTTGTAGTATATTTCGAACAAAACACATAAACGCATGTATGAAATTAAACATGCTTTGTGTATTTTGTATATTTATTTTAACCTTAACTTGTAAAGAAAAGCACAAAAATTGTTGAGGCTGAACCCCTGATAGATCGTTTGAAGACATCTCTGATGCAGTGAGCAGCCGAGCCTGCCTCGGCCTCTTTTATCTTATCAACTTATCAAAGATGAATATTGTGTGTCCTTTCGTTACTTTTCAGGTAAATCCACATCATAAGTCAAAGCTGGCATTCTTGACAGTCATTGCACAGATCTGACAAGGTGCTGTTGGTAGCAGGTCTGAAGTCAACCAGCAGAAACCACAATGAAACAAGTGAAACAAGTGAAACAGCATTCACTCATGTCAACAAACACAGTCTACACAAAAGTAACACAAGAGTAAAATCCACTATTAATATGAAAGGTCAGTTTCTATTTTCACTCAGCAGCTGTTCAGATACATTTATGACAAGTCATTAAAACCATGAGTGATTATTCTATATCATAATTACTACGATTTAACGCCCCCTTTCTCTCGCAACATTTTCTGTCTGTATGCAACATGTCAACTATTGAAAAGAAAAACAGAAATACAATTTTAAATAATCTCCAATCTTGACCTGGCTGAAGTTCATGTAGATGTATTCACGGGCCTTCCGGTGGAGCTCTGTGCAAGCGATCTGCTCGGCAAAGTTGGCGATGCCGATGGCGTTGCTGGGGTCGAGCTGCTGGACGAGGAAATCACAGCAGGCCTTGACCACGCTGTCTATCTGGTACATGACGGCACCGTTCATCACGTGAATCACACACTTCTCCCCCACGGAGATGCTGGCTGTGTAGGCAAACTCTATCAGTCGGTCCATAACCTGCATGAAGGGGAGAGGTTAGGGTAAAGAAGGGGGTCAGGGTTAGGGATGGGATACGGCAGAACAGTGAAGTAGAGAGGAAGTCTAATAGGAGGGAAAATAAGGCTCTGATGCACAACACAGGTAGCCATTTCACTGAGTATTTGTCAAGTCATACCTTGGTTAAATTAGACTTCTGAACAGCTTTACGCTTCAAAAATCATAAAAGTGGTGTAAGTTCTTGAAGATCATCCAGCTTAACAAAATGTAGTATTACCATAAACAACTGTCTGCCACAGAGTTTATTTTAAAGCAATTATCTAAAGCCCAATACAAAATTCCCATTGGCTTTTTATTAAGGGAACCAGTAAGATGCTAACTTTTGGCACTGGCCCCCAAAAATGCATCATCCCTGCACCACTTTTTATACTTTGAATTGTACCAATCCTACCATGTCTCAAAATAATACAAATCTGTTATTTTGTTGCCTCAGAATTACATTTCCTATCGAACACCTTTAACCCTGAATCATATATAATGATATGTGAGAGGTAAGGTGTGTCAAATCAAATAAACAGGAGACTTCAATCAATAAAAGATTTGATCTGACTCACCCTGGGATGGATCCCCTCGATGGACACCAACTCCATACCGCACTCCTTCAGGCCGTTGGTGAACATGGCTCTGAAGACCGGGGACGAGGAGGCCAACACCACCTTGTGAGCCACAAAGTCCACCGCCTCCAGGTCTTTGTAGCGCACACGCAGCGTGACGTCGCACAGCTGGCGCTCCAGACGCAGCTCGTTCATGATGGCGAAGGCGGCCGCCGTGTGGCTCTCGAGCGTGTAGCTGAAGACGCGGTGGCCATTGCGCGTGGACGGAGTCACCAGCGCTTTGCATTCTGTCAGGCACTCTGTCATTTCCTACCCTGTCTCCTCCTTTTTGGTCTCTTTCTCAAGAACAGTGGGCAGTGTTATGGGGCATCCTTGCACCAGGCGCAGGCGTGGACGAAAAAAGAGTTGGGACTGACACTTGGCAGGCGGCTTAACAGAAAGCTCTGGGCTCTCTTGGGTACGCCTGACTCTTGTTTACGTACAAGACTTCACGTTTAAGTGGGATTTATTTGGACATAGGGATTCCCTTGCTCTGTTCAGTACTTAAGTCCAGCCATACTTCTCATTATGGCATTTCTAGGGACTTTTGTGCGAGCTGCCATTCATGGTTGGATGTACTTTTATATGTTCCAACATAATCAACATATCTTGATTCCTTTGGCTTTGTCCGAGGGGTGAACAATATTAAGTACAGAAATGTCTTATGACTGAATGAGCTGAAAAACCGTAAGACTCAAAGGAATCTTTGGTGAAATGTTTGTGCAGACAAAAGTTCTCAAAAACAGCAATTAATCAGATATCCCTAAAGTAAACAAAACAAGATATTTGAACAACAAAATGTCCTACAAGATTCAGCACTAGTACAGGTCAGTCTTGCATATTGATTACTCTAGAGAACAGGGGGATAAAAAAGAAAGATTTACAGCTTCATTTTAAAGAGGTAATAATTCAAGCTCATCTCAGAGGGCTACATGTGTGCCAAGAGCTGCAGAGTCAGATACTGTAGATGAGGCAGGGGAATGGTTGTTAGCTCAGAAATGCGAATACAAAGTAGCGTTGAGTTCCAAAAGTGTCTTAACGTAACATTTGGGAATGGGGAGGGGTGTTGGTGGCTTTCTCCAGAGACGGCTTCCTCGAGGTTGCCCAGGCTAGCTCTGGAATTTGTTTTCTCCGCTGTGTTTACTAGGAAGCTTTCGGCTCAGCTGACAACTGGAAGGAAAGAGGGAGAGGGAGAAAGAGAGCTTATGTATACAGTGTCACAGCCACAAACTTCATAACAAACAGTTAGTAGATCCTGACACGGTTTTAATCAGTTTACACTGTAAATGCACTCATTGGATGACTGTCGACAACACATTGTCTTAAGAGGCTGGGAAGCACCAGTCTATGAAATAATGCAGCAAATGTTTATTGGTGCAAATCGAATATTATCCTTTTCACACCCATGGTGTTTTTGTCCTGGAGCAGGATGAGGGTGCTACTTCCAGGCTCATAGCTCATTTCCTTTCATCTGGAATTAGAATCATCTAATTTAAGACTGAACTTTTATAAGCATTTAATATCTAAATAAAGTCTTGTAATTTCAGCAAAGTGGAAACAAATTAACAGAGCAATGCAAGCAAGCGTGTGGGTTTAGTGAGGGAGTTATGTCAGATTTGAAAGACGATGGAATGATTTCATTTGGCTTGTTTTTAACTGACCAGCATGACTGCATGTCCTGTGACCAGAGTGTGGAACAGTTTGTGCTTCAGCCAAAAAAAACAAAACTAATCTAATTCTTAATAAGAAAATATATACACAAACATTAAGTACAAAATAGTTTGTCAAATAAAACAGAATTTAGCCAAAACACAAACATGTTCATCAGTATCACAAAAGCTTTTACTTTGAGAAATCTCACACATCCCACTGCAGAGAATGGTAAAACAACAGGGGATAGCTATGCAGAATTGTTTGTAAGTCAACACTTCTTGTGGGAATATGTAGGCTCAGGTGCACGTAGAAAAAAGGACCATAACATGTGTTATACACTGGTTTACAGCATGTTTACTGTTGCAAGCCTGGCTCTGCTGCACACCATTAAAATGACACGGAGGGATGACGCCTCTCTTTCCTGTTAATATAACTTCTTCTTTTAGGATAACTCTTCTGCTCGTAGCAGTGAGATAAAGAACAAAGAGCAGCCGGCAGTCACTAACTGTCTGTCCGGTGTTCTCTGACTCTCAGAGTCAGTGTCACTCAGCAACGATGCAGCTGTGAGTGTGCATTTATATAACAAGGCACACACACACAGCAATCATTACCTGAAGTGGCGATAAGAGGACGCATCGCCAAGCAAGGGTGTAGGGCATTTCTACTTCAAATACTGCAAGTAGGTTATTGTGTCCTGCCCTTTAACAGTTAAGATTAAACTAAGCATTTTTCTATTATCCACAGACGGTGACACATCAGTTACCATCATAGGGCTCGTCATAAAGGCAATTAGCCAGCGGTAATATGAAACACACTGCGACTCCAATTTACTGCTGTGTTTCCCTCCCTCCAGGTTTCTGGGTAAAATAGTTTCACAGGAGGACATGTTGCTCAACAGGCCTGCAGAAACTGCTCGCTGACTAACAGACTCACACTGAGCTAACAGCATTTTTTATTGCTGCATATCTCTGATAATTCATTAAATTAAAACATATATACAAGTTTAGTTTTGGTCCAAAATGATCAAAAGAAGAAGATAGTTACTGTTAAACAACTCTATTGGAGCAGAAAATGTGTCTGTTTTGATTCAATATTTAGTCATTTTTATAAGGAAAAACTTCTTTAAAAGTACATTTGAGCTAATAAAATATGAAAGTTAGATGTTTTTTTGATGTCTTACATTACTCATTGAGTTACATGTCTGAACTTGATGCACAAACTATGGCTGCAACTAAAGAATATTTTAATCATCAATCATTTTCCAGATTATTTTTATATTATGGATTTGTCATATGGTCTAGATAGAAAAACATTTAAAATGTCCATCCCAGTTTTTCAAAATCTAAGGGGATGTTTTTAAACTTTATTTTTTCTTCAGGCAAAAATCCAAAGAGATGAGATTCAGTTTAATATGATATAAGACAGTAACAAATACAAATGCTGATTCTATGGATTATCAAAGCAGTTAGTATTATTTTTCAATCGATCAATTTATCGATTAGCCGATTTATTATTGCAGCTTTAACATGCTTTCACTATTTTGATCCCTCAGTGTTGAGTGATCATAAATATTGGTGATAAATCTATAAATAATAGATTAAATCATGTTTCAGTAGGGGGACTCTCTGTATCACCTTCAGGGACCCCCCTGAGACCCTGCACCCCAGTTTAGGAACCACAGTCCAGGCCTGCAGTCCTCAGAGCTGTTCAGTGAGGGTTGCACAATAACTGGAGGGTTTCAAAGTTGCATGTAAAATAGTTACAAACAAACATTGTGCTTAACTCAGTGACATTTTGGCAGAGAGCTCTCCTCTGTGACTCATGCTGAACTCCTCACAGGGCAAACAGTGGAACTGGCTGTACCAAAACATGACCCAGAAGAGCAGCCTTACATAAACCAAGGAGGAATTAGATCTCCGCGCTATGCTTCCAAACATTAAGAGCTTTCACACAAAGCACCGTTTACACCGATCCGACCATGGTCGTTTCTGCGGTTGTTTTGATAAGAAAGATAATCCACAGCGCTCGTATAAACCGAAAACAAGGAGAATACACATGAAGAAGAGTCGATTAAATCCACTGTTTGGTCAGCGACGAAAAGTGTACTCATTGTTTTTAAGATAAACAACCGGAGACCCCAATAATAACAAGTTTAACGTTTCGGAAATAGAGCTGACAGCAAAATAGGATCCTAATAATAGACAGCAGCGTAAGAGCTGTGAATCGTGAGCACAAAAATGCTAACAAAGCGCTGTATACACATGTTGCTACAGCTGGCTTGCAACTAAATCCTACCCCCATTATAGTTCTTATAAATCAAATCTGATAGCTTAATCAGTAATAAAAGAAACTCACGTTGTCTACTTATATTCCTCCATCGCGGTCTGCCGAGCTGTGCGCCACATAGGAAGGAGGGGGGAAGCTGTAACTCACCATGACTAAGCATTGTGCCGGCCTCCTCTCGCTTTCACAATAAGAGCCCGCCTCTGAGGCACTAAACCCGCCTCCGTTGACGGGTAATGGAGTGAAAAACGTCCCGAGGGAGGGAGGCTTTTATTTAGAAGGACTTCTCAAAATGAAGAAAAAAGCGTTGGCATGGTGCCAAATCTCAAGCTTCGACTTCAGTCATATTTCGCTTTTAGAAATAATATAGCAACTGCATGAGACAATGACATTTTTTATGTTTATTATGGACAACAACTTAATAGCATTAATGTAAATAGAAATCAGAATCAGAAACAGGTTTATTACCAGGTAGGTTTACACGGAATTTGACTTGGTGTCGTGGTGCAGAGCCTACATAAAAGTAAAACAAGAATTCAAAACACAGGTAGAGAACTAGAAGCATATTCAAAATAATAAAAAATATAGTAAAATATAACAGTATTTCCAATGGAATGGAATAAGAAGGAATAAAATATGGAATAAAAACAGATATTGTTGTACATTGTGTGCATTAATGTAATGCATAGAGTCTGCGTTGTGGCTGAGGTTCTACGTAAAGCAAATTCACTATTAATTAAACTTAATTGACATTAAAAAACAACTCACAAGCCTATTTTAATCTTCTTGTTTTTTTGTAACTTTGCATAATATAAAAACACACTGCTGCTCAAGAAACATGGCTATAATGGCATTGGCCACTAATGACCAAATAACCCAAAATGCTCCCTCTTTGTATAGCTCACCTTGCTTGTTAAGTTATCTTCCTCCTGACAATGGCGTTGTTTGTGAATGGCCTTTACAGAACAATGCAGCTTGACAGAAACATGCTCTAGCTCCAGGCAGGTGCTGACACCAGTACGTTTCCCCCTCTTACAAAAACATGTAATTCAGGTCAATATGGAAAACAGCATACTCTATTCTGGCAAGCGGTCACAAGGTGGCACCACAAGCATACTAAGCACAAAGACCCACTTCATATTTCTTAAACTATATTGTTCAGAAATGATTTGTAATCATGCACAAGTGAGGTTCCTGTAATTATGTAATACAAACATGTTTGAGCCTTCTTGAGCCCTATAGGCAAAATTCACAGCTGGTTAAACAAAATGAGTAATGCTGAGATTTAATCTCTGCTCCCCCGGAGTCAGTGAAATTGATGATAAAGCATAAACATTCATGATAACTCCTTGATGTGTTATGACAAGCTTTGAACCAGCCTTCACTAATACTTTCCCAGCTGAGAGATGATACAGCCTTCACTTTGTATACGTTAGATTATTAAGGTGAAGTTGGCCTTGGGGCACAAAACTGGTTTCAGTCATCTGAAAAAAATATATAATCAAAAATCATGCATCTTTTTAGTTTGGATTTTATTTATGTGTTTTCAAACTCTATAGTTTTATTATTTTGTATACATGTTACCTTATTATCTTTATTATTTACTTGTTACTGTATAATCTTATTATATATTTTTTGTAAATCCCTTGTAAAACACTTTGAGTTTCATTTGATTTATCCAAAAGGTTCTTGATAAATAAAGTTTGATTGGTGGACGTCCGCTCCTCATGTATCCAAGATTAAAGCTGTACTTGCAGGGTCCTTTTTTTCCTTTTTCTTTTACATGTATATTTTCTATTTATCAGATTTACTACATGCGTTACTACTCTGATTTTTCCCAAACTCAGCTGGAGCAGGGAGCAGTACAGCATGTGTACATCTGTTATACAATCTCGTCCTTGGTGATAATGATTGATGACTTATGACTTGTACCTGTCAGCTTTGTTGCATGATTTCAGCAGCAGGGAGGGAGCTGGGGCCCAGGAGAGATTCCCTGACACGTTGACCTCTGTCAGCAGGCACAGTGCTGGTGGAAACATCCAACATCTGGAAGAACATCTGCACATTATACAAATTATATCACAGGTATCCCAGTGCCACATGGTACCTTTTACCCTGGATAGTTAAATCAAAAGTAATGCAACTATATATGTATTTATAGTGTGTCAGTAAGTATGACTTCGCTTTACAAGAAGTTGAGTTGTCTTCTCACAGGAAAAGGTAGGTGTGAAAAGTTAGCATATTTCCCTAAATAGATAACTGCACATGCTGCAGAACCTATATTACCCAGCCATGCAACAATTGTTGGTTTTGCAATATTAATAACTTATTATTTCAAAGAGGTCTAGCAAGCAGTGTCAATACTTCAGCACTTAGATACACTTCACACCAATAACTTAATTTCACATTTTGTCAAATTCGGACTTCCAGACAGTAATAATGATCCAGGACACAAGCCCAAATGGCAAGTTTATATTTATCTTGACGTTTTACGCTCTATACAACTTTAATGTAATTTTGATCTAATTTAATACTCAAACTTAAGTGGATTATTTGTTCATGTCCTGTCTACAGCAGGTACAGCTCCCAGGGAGCAATAATGATAGCTGAATGTGAGCCATCTCAGTTTCAGCTAGAATGAGTGTGGACTGCAGGTCAGAGTGAGGCATTGGCCAATTCTATCCACAAGCTGACAGAAAAAGGAGAACAAATTGAGTTCCCTGAGATTAAATAAAAGGCACATTGTGTGATTCTTGTGACGTCCAGAGACATGCAAAGCTTAAAAAAGGAGGTTGTATCTAGGCCAATGCCATTACCAGATGTCAGACTATAGGGGGCTGATTTCCTGTGATACTTCTTCAAAAACTCAACTTCAGCTACACACAAAGAATCACACACAGACACATATACAGTGCACACAGTAAAAACAAACCAAAAACTCAGGAATTCTTTAAAAAACACATTTTATTTCTTTTCTGAAAAGAAAGGAGAAGTTTGATAACCTTTTCTTGGTACAAAATAGATATATTTACAATACAGGTGATATGAAAAGTCTCAGAAATATAAAAGTTCAATACATGAATTAAAGTACAAAAAACACACTGCCTTATTCATTAAGTGAGGTCCGACAAGAAAGTGTCTGTTTAAAAAGACAGCCTAATCAGTATCTTTATTTCATCTGCAACTTTTTTTAAGGAGTTTTCTTTTTATAATAATTTAGAAGGCTTATACTTACACACTTTGCAATTTTTATTTTTTTCCCTCCAGATGCCAGACTGACATTTAACAAATTGGACACTAAACCCCAACAACTTTCCATTTGGCATCAGATAGGTTAACCATCTGTCATATCAAAACAGTGGGGGGATTTTAATGTTACCCCTACAACTGTAGCACATCGTTTTTTACAGAGCACAAGGAACCGTTAAGAGTAAACACCACTTCTCTCTTTCCTGTTATCTTTTTGAACCATTTATTTCTCCCTGCATCATGTAACATGTTGAGGGTTGCTACACATAATTTTATCTGAACAAATCTAGCACACCACAGGCCTTCGAACCAGCAAAATCCAGGTGTTTGCAGATGCACAGATTACAGACTGCACATATTAGACTTGTTTGTGTTAAAGTCACTTCATTTAAAAAAACTGTAGAAAGAAGTATATCCAACCCAACTTGTTTACCATTCATCAGGAAAATGTTTTTTACAGTCATGAATGTCTCTGGGTTTACAGAATAAATCTAAGGCTGTACTCCAATGTTTTAGTGCAAATTAGTCACAAGCTTCTATTCATAACAAAGTATGTTTGCTTGTTCACATTTGAGTGGCATTCTTAAGGCATTTTGTTTCGCAAACACCTTGCATTTAAGTTCTGCATCACTTCTGACTGTTGTTTGAACATGATTTTCTCGTGCTTCCATGGTATTTCCTCCCTCCCAATGCTTCTTTGGAAAATACCAGAACTGCTTCCTCTTTATAGATGCACTACATGTCCTCTGTTCAGTGGGACACCCATTCACACACTTATGGACTCAGTTAGTCTTACTCCTCATGACTTGAAGAGTTTTGGATAAAGGGTCTTAATAGGAGCTGGGGTGGTGATATTGTTCCCAGAGGAAATAGTTGTCTCCAATCCCCCCTCTAACTTCTGGGATGCCACTTCAGTTTTACTGAAACTACACTCAAGGAATGGCATCCCAATCTTCTTCACCTGGCCGTCTCTGGTCATCAGACAGGGCCGGCAGAGCAGCCTCAGAATGGCTCTCCTCATGTCCTTACTGGTCAGAGTATAGATGATGGGGTTGAGGAGCGAGTTGACCATAGCTACTCCCAGGAAGTAATCAGCCTTGTAGAGCATTCGACAACTGCGGGTGGGGCAGAAGAAATCCAGGAGGAGGAGGACGAAGAGGGGCAGCCAACAGGCGATGAAGACACCCAGTACGATGGTGACTGTCTTGAGAAGGGCAATGTACTTCTCAGACTTCCTCGCTAAGCCTTTCCTCATGCTGCCTGACAGGCCCAGCCGCTGGCGCTGTGTGTTGGTGCGGACGATGCGGAAAACTCTGACATAAAGGACCACAATAGCCAAGAGCACTGCGATGAACACAGACACGCAGAAGAGGATGTAGCTCCTGTCATAAAGCGGAAGGACTGTTGAACACTGGTCCAGTCTGTGGATGCAGTTCCACCCCAAAATTGGGAGGACTCCTAAAAACCCTGCCAGGGCCCAACTCGCACCAATCAGTGCCAACATCCGTCCCCGCTTTGCCCCATGGTAGGGCCTCATTGTCACCATGGTAACATGCCGTTCAATTGCAATGGCCAGCAGACTAATTATAGAGGCAGCCAGAGTGATGAAGACCCCTCCCTCCCTGAGGAACCATAGCAACGGTGTCAGTTTCAAAGTGTTAGGTCCAGACATGATGATGTTGGCCATGTATGTAATCCCAGCCAGCAGATCAGACAGAGTCAGGTTGCCCAGCAGGTAATACATGGGCAGGTGGAACTTCTTGTTCCTCCAAATGGCGATGAGAACCACGGCGTTCTCCAGGACGATGAGGAGACATACGACCAGGAACGCAATGCCCTCGGGTTTGAGTCCTTCGCGGTAGCGGTCTTTCTGCAGCTTGCCTGTGTAGTTGTAATGATCCACAAGCACTGAATT